TTGAGGCAGGTGTGAATGTTGCAATTTGCCACCTTGATTAGCATTAAATGGCCTTGCAGCTTCAAAGCCTGGCTGATTCCTGCATGGTGGAATCCTTTGTTGGGAGGTGTTAGCTGGCCCTGATTAAAGCTCATATGGCTCATATAAAGGGGAACAGGATCTTCCCTGTACAGTCTAATCGACAGTAAACTTCAACATGTTGTCTCATGTTCCACTTCATTTAATGGGGCTTGATGCCTCCCTATTCATTATACTTAGTGCTCTTCTAGCCCAAAGCTTTTAATTTATGATCATTTATCTGGGAATAGGGTTATTAAATACAGTGGGACTCACGTCTGAGTACAGTTAAATAGGACTATTCTGTACGTCTGCAATATTACTCCCACTTACGTAGGAGTAAATTCCTGTTGAATACAACAGGACCCAATTCTGAGCAAATCTGTACATGACTGCATATGTTTTATCTCATAGGTTCTCATATGAACTCTGGGAAACAGGCCATTATACACACCCATTTGACAGATGGAGAACAGAGATACTGTTTACCTGGGGTTAGTGAACTATGCAGCTGAAAAGGAATGTGAATCTAAACAGCATTTTCCAAAACTGAGCACATCCTTCCATTCTCCACCAATTTCAAGAATCCTGGAAATACATCCAAGAAAAGATGTAACTTGCTCACTCATTATGAGATTGGTTTTAAGTATACAATTATACATTTATAGATTCTCTAGTGCTGCTTTATGGTCAGCTTCTGCCAGAGGTTCTCAGAAAAAAAATCATGTTTTTTAATTCACATTTTCCCCACTTTTGTGGGGTTCCTGAGACCCTAACCCAGGCATGGGCAAACTTTGGCCCGTCTACCGGCTGTTACGAATTGTGGGTGCTGGAGTCCAAAACACATGCCTGCCCTAACCCCACTGTACATACATAAACAAGTATAGGTAAAGGTAAAGGTTTTCCCTTGACATAAAGGCCAGTCATGTCCGACTCTGGGGGTTGGTGTTCATCTCCATTTCTAAGCCAAAGAGCCAGCGTTGTCCATAGACACCTCCAAGGTCATGTGGCCAGCATGACTGCATGGAGCACTGTTACCTTCCCACCAGAGTGGTACCTATTAATCTACTCACATTTGCATGTTTTCAACCTGCTACATTGGCAGAAGCTAGGGCTAACAGTGGGAGCTCACCACACTCCCTGGATTCGAACCTACAACCTTTCATTTAGCAAGTTCAGCAGTTTAATGGTTTAATGCACTGCACCACTGGGGGCAAGTATAAAGGTGATTCTATGGGTTCAACCCCATTCTAGTCATCAGAAAGGCTCAAAGAAGAAGAGTGCTGCAATTCTCTTGTTATCATTCAAACAAATGGTAAAAAATGGTACACAATCAAAGAACAGGCTTCAACAAAGCGTGGTTCAGTTTTGTTTTTCAGGAGCAGGTCTGAGCCTGCAGGCCAGTTGCAGTCCAATGCACACCCATCAGTGCACTGGATCAGGCCATCCCTTTTATCACTTGATTTTACTGATTGCAGAAACCGGCTTTGAGAGCTCCCGTGGTGGTGCCTTCAAGGTTTCCTTGTATGTCTTGACTTGCAAAGGAGACAAACTTTGCCGTGAAACTTTGGTCTATTCTTACTGGAATCACTGGGTTTCTGTGAGTTTTCTGGGCTGTATGGCCATGTTCCAGAAGCATTATCTCCTGACATTTCACCCACATCTATGGCAGGCATCCTCAGAGGTTGCGAGGTCTGTTGGAAACTAGGCAAGAAGACTCCAGGACAAGATTACACAATCTCATCTCCTCTTCTCACAGTTGAATTGATTTAGTTCAAATGACTTTTGCACTTCAATTCGGTTTGCACCACCTGAAGTAAGCAGAAGGAAAAATGGAAGGAGGAGAGAGAAATTTGGACATTTGAAGAGCATCTGAAAAAGTGGGCTTACAAATTAATCAGTATCATCCCTGTCAAATGGAGACAGTTAAGAGGATATGATCTTAAGAGATACTACTGATGCATAGTTAAATTTGAACTAGAGGCATTTTCACTGTGATTCCACTTGGACTGCCAATTGAGCTCTGGGATTTGCAGCCTCTCTGTGTGGTGTAAAGATAAAGATAAAGGTAGTCTCCTGACATTAAGTCCAGTCGTGTCCAACTCTGGGGTGTGGTGCTCATCTCTAAGCCAAAGAGCCGGCGTTGTCCGTAGACACCTCCAAGGTTATGTGGCCAGCATGACTGCCCGGAGTGCCGTTACCTTCCCGCCAGAATGGTACTTATTGATCTTCTCCACCTTCAAATTAATGTTGACCCCAATGAGATAAATCAGTATTTATGTTATGAAATTGTACCTAAGAGTGCAAGCTTAATAACCCTGTGGACTATGTGCAACCAATGAAGCAAGGCATGTTTTGAGCAATCTTTGGGCCTGGGGCTCAGGAGATTTCCATTCATGAAGGCCTTGGCTTTTTTGTATCTGGATTAAGATCAAGTTTTCAAGATGAAATGCTCTTTACTGAAGCCTTTCTTACTGGGATACCAGGGTTTGAATTCCTGCTCAGCCTTGGAAACCTACTGGGCGACCTTAGGCAAGTTACATCCCTCAGCCTCAGAGGAAGGCAAAGTCAACCCACCTCTGAATAAATCTTGCCAAGAAACCCCATAACAAGTTGGCCTTGAACCTTTGCATAGTATGATTGTCATCATGTTTACTCACAAGTCACCCAGCAAAATAATCACAATTCCCCATCCTGCAACCAGAACCTGTGCAAGTATCCTCAAATCTCTAAGAGGGATTACTCACACTACATAATTATAGTGTTCTTATTCCACTTTAACTGGCATACTTCCATCCTGTGGGCTCCTGGGATTTTTAGTTTGGTGCACTAAAGTGCTTTGGCAGTTCTAAATA